ATAACCTGATGTTGTGTGACTTCTGACTAAATACTTTAAGTCAGAGCAATCTTAGATCACACAGCAATTGTCATAATATTCAAAACTATGGGCATAGTGCGGGAAAGTGGCACTAATGGGATAGTAGTATATTTTTGACAGCACAGACTTGATGGGCCAAAGGGTTTCTTCTGTACTGTGATTCTATGATTCACATTCATTAGTACTGAGTTTGTACCCTCGCTTATATTCCAAACTACACTTTATTCACATTATTTGTTCATTCAAATTTTAAGCAAAGCAACTGTTCAAATGACACCCAGGGTGCAGAGAATATCATCAATAAGAGCTATAATGAAGCGGTCACTCCTAAGGTGCAGGCTGCAGGTAGCTGGGTGGCCACCAGAAGAGGTAAAGGGGTGAAGGCAGATAGTGCATGGTTCCCCAGTGGCCATTCCCGTCAATAACACTTTGGATACTTTTGGGGGGTGGGATGACCTTTCAGGGGCTCGCAGCAGGAGTCAGGTCAGTGGCACTGTGATTGGCTCTGAGGCTCAGATGGAAAGGGTGCAGTCAGACAGAGCGATACTGATAGGAGACTCAGTTGTGAGGGGGACAGACAGGAGATTCTGTGGCTGGAGAAGAAAGACCAGGATGGTGTGTTTCCTCCCGGGTGCAAGGGTCAAGGATGTCTCTGAGCGGTTACAGGACATTCTGAAGGGGCAGCGTGAACATTGTGCACATTGGTACAAATGACGTGGGTAAACAAGGGGATGGAGTCCTGCAAAATGAGTATAGGGAGTTAGGTAAACAGTTAAAAGGCAGGACCTCAAGGGGAGTGATCTCTGGATTACTCCCAGTGCAACATGCCGGTGAGGATAGAAATAGAAAGATAAGCCAGATGGCTGAGGAGCTAGTGTAGCGGGGGGGCAGGGTTTTCAGTTCTTGGATCATTGGGATCTCTTCTGGGGTAAAGTTGACCTGTACAAGGGTGATGGGTTACACTTGAACTGGAGGGGATCCAATAACCTCGCGGGGAGACTTACTAGTGTTACCCAGGAGGGTTTAAACTAGTTTGGCAAGGGTGGGTGGGACTCTGACAGGCCATCGAGAAATCAGTAGAAAATACATTAGCTATCAAGAGCAAGTTTATTATTCAGAATAGCCAGGAGGACAGTATAGGAATGGAAAAGACTTCTAGTTTAAAGTGCATTTATTTCAACACACGAGGTAAGGCAGATGAGCTCAGAGCATGAATTGGCTCTGGGGAATGGGATATTATAGCCATAACAGAAACATGGCTGAGAGAAGGGCAGGACTGGCAGCTCAATGTTCCAGGATACAGAAGCTACAGGTGTGACAGAATTGCAAGTAAGCGAGGAGGGGGAGGGAGAGGATACTGAGGGACAGGATCAACCAACATGTGGACAGTCAAGGTCTGATTAGGGATAGTCGCATGGATTTGTGCACAGGAAGTCATGTCTAACAAATCTTTTAGAGTTCTTCGAAGAGGTCACCAAGAGGATGGATGAGGGTAGGGCAGTGGATGTTGTCTATATGGACTTTAGTAAGGCCTTTGACAAGGTCCTGCACAGCAGGCTAGTCATGAAAGTTAGGCTGCATGGGATCTAGGGAGAGCTAGCTAATTGAATTCAAAATTGGCTCAATGGTAGGAAGCAGAGGGTGATGGTTGAAGGTTGTTTCTCAGCCTGGAGGCCTGTGACTAGTGGTGTGCCACAGGGGTCAACGTTGGGACCTTTGTTATTTGTTATTTACATGAAAGATCTGGATGTGAATGTACAAGGCATGATTAGTAAGTTTGCAGATGATACAAATTTAGAGGTTATCGTTAGGGGTTATAGTGAAGAAGGTTATCAAAAATTATAGAGGGACCTTGATCAGATGGGGAAGTGGGCTGAGGATTGGCAAATGCAATTCAATACAGATAAGTGTGAGGTGTTGTACTTTGGAAAGTCAAACCAAGGTAGGACTTACACAGTAAACGGTAAGGTCCTGAGGAGTGTTGTAAAACAGAATGACCTCGGAATACAAGTACATAGTTCATTGAAAGCGGCATCACAGGCGGACAGCGTGGTGAAGAAGGCATTTAGCATGCTGGCCTTCACCAGTCAAGGCATTGAGTACAGGAGTTGCGACATTATGTTACAGTTGTGTAAGTCGTTGGTGAAGCCGCACTTGGAGTATTGTGTACAGTTTTGGTCACCCTGTTAGAGGAAAGACATATTTAAATGTGAAAGTGTGCAAAGATAATTTACGAGGATGTTGCCAGGACTAGTAGGCCTAAGTTATAGGGAGAGGTTGGCCAGGATAGGACTTTATTCCTTGGAACGTAGGAGAATGAGGGGTGACCTTATTGAGGTGTATAAACTCATGAGGGGCATAGGTAGGATGAATGTATATAGTCTTTTTCTCAGGGATTGGGAATTGGAAACTAGAGGACATAGGTTTAGGGTGAGAGGGGATAGATTTAAGAAGGACCTGAGGGGCAACTTCTTCACGCAGAGAGTGGTGCATATATGGAATGGGCTGCCAGAGATAGTGGTTGAGGCAGGTACAAAACATTTTAAAAACATTATGATAGGTACATGGATGAGAAGGTTTTAGAGGGATATGGATGAAATGCGGGCAATTGGAACTAGCCGAGTGGGCACCCCGGTCAGCATTGACCAGTTTGGGCTGAAGGGCCTGTTTCCATGCTGTATTACTTTATGACTCTATGACAGACTTTATCTTTTATGAAAGACATTCCCTATGTGATACATTAACAATTGTTAATCTCACTGTGCAATTTGCCACAACTTGAACCTTATGCTGTTTGTGTGTGAAATTACCCGGTATTCTGTTGGTAATTCTCAAGCAGCTGAGATTCTGCGGAATCACTGCCACCTATCGACAAAAAGTAAAGAAAGACCAAATAATAAAAACCGAAAGAATTGTGGGTGCTGTAAATTAGGAACAAAAACAGAAGTTGCTGGAAAATCTCAGCAGGTCTGGCAGCATCTGTGAAGAAAATGTCAGAGTTAACGTTTCGTGTCTGTTGACCCTTCCTCAGAACTATTCTGAGGAAGGGTCATTGGCTAATAGTTCTGAGGAAGGATCATTGGACCTGAAACATTAACTCTGAATTTTTTTCTTCACAGATGCTGCCAAAGACCAACTAATGTTACACACTAGAGATTAACTGGTTTATTGCTTCTTATACATGCAATATGGAACTCAATATAGCTTTCAATAGGTCATTCCAGAAGTTGACTTACAGTTTCATGAACCAACAGCAAAATGGACCATTCTTTTCTTTTATTTCCCATGACTGAACAACTTCTATTGAGGATAAGTAACTCCATGCTACTTTCCAGTTCTGAATTCATGAATTACTCATCCAAATAGTCCAAGGGACACAAAATTCAGGCTCCCTAATATTTGGGTGAGGAAGCCTGATTATCAATTTAGATCAACGTGGGTAATTCATCAAACCCTGTCATTGAATAATTTGAGCACTACTTTGACAACACCAGCACAGCTCCCTTTTCCCAATGCTACTGGCGAGCCCTGCACACAGCAGAAGGCGATGACCACACTTGCTGACCATGTGGTGCAAGCAGCTTGCTCTTTTGTAAAGGCAGGCTACCTGTTACAGGACATGGCACAGATATATTTCAGCAATGGAAGTTCTTGCAAGCAGAATAATGGAATAGATAGAGCTGTGACAATGCTGTGGCTTTAATAGGTTACTTTGTCCTAGTTTCTTCCAAGAGAGAGATTGAACAAGAGGCCCAAAGCTGGCTAGTTAAGACCACTTAAGTAAACAGCTTGGGAGACCTTGGTATTTTTTTTTAACAGCCTAAATGAATGTGCCCAACTCTCACAGGTCAGGATTTCTGGGGTTTTGGTTTTTGAGTAGCGTAAGAAGCTATTGGGGTCTCAACAGAGTTGGATGCTTCAGTACATGTCTCCTGGTTGCTACCCTAAATTTTCTCTTGATGTTTTTTTCCTCCTGGTTTGGAGAACTGCACGTGAGAATCTGTGACTGAATTTGCCTTTTTGCCAAGGGGTGTGTTTTTGGGATGTTACTATATTGGAACAGTTAATTAGTGATAGTTACAGTATCTATTAGTCTGTTAAGTTTTCCAGTCGAGCTAAGTTATTCTAAATTCCTCTTTCTTTGGTTGTATTTTAACTACAGTGTTTAAATAAATTGTGCCTTGCTCAATGTCAAGTAGCTTGACCAATCACATTGCATCTGGAACATGGCACTTCACATTTGCTTTTAAAAATAAGAAAAAGTTAGGGTCTAGGCTACCTTCTTAAAATATTTTGAGGGGGGCTGGTCTGGTCCATAACAGAAGGATGTAGATGATGGATGTGGCACTGGTGGTGCAAGGGGTCAGGAAGAGAGATGTCAAGGTTCCACTGGAGAT